ATAGTGTCCAGTAAAGGAATTAAGGTGGATCCGAAGAAGATAGAGGCAGTTCAGAGCTGGCCCAGGCCATCTTCAGTTACTGAGATTTGGAGTTTTCTCGGCTTGGTCGGTTATTATCGTCGCTTCGTGGAGGGTTTCTCGTCTAGTGCATCGCCTATGACTAAATTGACCCAGAAAAGAGCTTCGTTCAGGTGGTCGGATGAATGTGAAGAGAGCTTTTAGAAGCTCAAAACAACTTTGACTACAGCTCTAGTATTGGTGTTGCCTACAGGTTCAGAGTCTTATACTGTGTATTATGACGCGTCGCGTATTGGTCTCGGCGCAGTGCTGATGCAAGACGGTAGGGTGATTGCCTATGCGTCCAGACAGTTAAAGGTGCATGAGAAGAATTATCCAGTCCATGATCTTGAGTTAGCAGCTATTGTTCATGCCTTGAAAATTTGGCGGCATTACTTGTACGGTGTCCAGTGTGAGGTATATACCGATCATCGGAGTCTACAACGTTTGTTTAAATAGAAGGATCTTAATTTGTGGCAGCGAATGTGGTCGAAGTTGCTTAAGGATTGTGACATTACCATTCTCTATCATCCCGGAAAGGCCAATGTAGTGGCCGATGCCCTGAGTCGTACGGCAGAGAGTTTGGGCAGCTTAGCATACTTACCGGTACGAGAGAGGCCTTTAGCCTTGGATGTTCAGGGCTTGGCTAACCAGTTTGTTAGATTGGATGTTTCGGAGCCGAATCGAGTTTTGGCTTTGTGGTTTCTCGGTCTTCTTTATATGATCACATCAGAGTATGATGATCCACATCTGCTTGTCCTTAAGGACACGGTTCAACACGGTGATGCCAAGGAAGTCACTATTGGAGATGACGGTGTATTACGGATGCAAAACAGTCTATGTGTGCCTAATGTAGATGGTTTGCATGAGCTGATTCTCCAGAAAGCTCATAGTTCGCGGTACTTTATCCATCCAGGCGCCGCGAAGATGTATTAGGATTTGAGGCAGCACTACTCGTGGAGGCAAATGAAGAAAGATATAGTTGGATTTGTAGCTCGGTGTTAAAATTGTCAACAGGTAAAGTACGAGCATCAGAGACCGGGAGGATTACTACAGAGACTTGAAATTCCGGAGTGGAAGTGGGAACGTATTACCATGGACTTCGTAGTTGGGCTCCCATAGACTTTGAGAATGTTTGATGCTGTTTGGGTGATAGTAGATCGGTTGACCAAATCTGCGCATTTTGTTCCAGTCGGTACTAATTATTCTTCGGAGCGGTTGGCTGGGATTTATATTCACGAGATTATTTACCTACACGGTGTGCCGGTGTCTATCATTTCAGATCGGGGTACGCAGTTTACCTCACAGTTTTGGAGAGCAGTGCAGCGAGAATTGGGCACCCAGGTTCAGTTGAGTACAGCATTTCATCCTCAGACGGACGGACAGTCCGAGCGCACTATTCAAATATTAGAGGATATGATACGCGCTTGTGTCATTGATTTTGGGGGTCCATGGGATCAATTTATGCCACTCGTGGAGTTTGCTTATAATAATAGCTACCAGTCAAGCATTCAGATGGCTCATTCTAAGGCTTTGTATGGGAGACGGTGTCGGTCCCCGGTGGGTTGGTTTGAGCCGGGTGGGCTAGGCTATTGGGTACTAACTTGGTTCAGGATGCTTTAAAAAAGGTCAAAGTGATTCAGGAAAGAATTCGCAAGGCATAGTCTAGACAGAAGAGTTTCGTGATGCTGTTTATATGGTTGGGGAGAAGGTTCTGCTCAAGATTTCACCCATGAAAGGTGTGTTGAGGTTCGGGAAGAAGGGCAAGTTTAGCCATCGGTATATTGGGCCTTTTGAGATACTTAAGAAAATTATAGAGGTGGCTTATGAACTTACTTTGCCACCTAGTCTATCAGGTGTTCATCTAGTGTTCCATGTATCCATGCTCCGAAAATATGTCGGGGATACGTCTCATATTCTAGATTTCAGTACAGTACATCTGGACGGTAATTTGACTTATGATATGGAGCCGGTGGCTATTTTAGACCGACAGGTTTGAAAGCTTAGGTCAAAGAACATAGCATCAGTGAAGGTACAGTGGAGAGGCCAGCCAGTCGGAGAAGCTACTTGGGAGATTGAGCAGGAGATGCAGAGCAAATATCCACACCTATTTGAGACTCCAGGTATGATTCTAAACCCGTTTGAGGACGAACGTTTGTTTAAGAGGGGGAGAATGTAATGACCCTGCCAGTCGTTTATAGCATTATAATCATGTTCCCCTATTTACTACTCAATTTATGCTTTACAGTTATTCTATGACTTACTAGGTTAGTTGGTTCGGGTCCGGAAAGAATTCGGAGTGAAACGAGACACTTAGTCTCATAATTGAAAATTTAAGTTAGAAAGGTTGACCGGATGTGGACTTAGGTATAAACGACCTCGGATCTGAATTTTTATGATTTCAATAGCTCCGTATGGTAATTTTGGGCTTAGGAGCATGTCCGAAAAATCGTTTGGAGCTCCGTAGAGGAATTAATCTTGAAATGCCGAAAGTTAAATTTTTGAGAAGATTGACCGGGGGTTGACTTTTTTATAACGGGCTCAAAATCCGATTCTGAAAATTTTAGTAGGTCTGTTATGTCATTTATGACTTGTGTACCAAAATTTGAGGTCAATCGGACGTGATTTGATAGGTTTCGGCGTTGTTTGTAGAAATGGAAAGTTTCAAAGTTCATTAGGCTTGAATCTATGTGTGATTCGTGTTTTTAGTGTTTCTGGATATGATTTGAAGACTTGACTAAGTTCATATGATGTTTTAGGACTTGTTGGTATATTTGGTTGAGGTCCCGAGGGCCTCGGATGAGTTTCGAATGGTTAACAGATCAAAAAGTGGACTAAAATAGCTGCTGCAATTTCCTTTTGTTGCAAATTCCTTCTCCCAGAATCGAGCCTAGGATCGAAGCCAGGGTCGAGAGCCATGATCGAGGGCCAGGATCGAAGGCAAGATCGAAGGCCAAGGTCGAGGGCCATGATCGAGGGTCAGAATCGAGGCCCAAGATCGAGGCCCAGTATTGAGGCACGGGATTGAGGAACACGATCGAAGGCCCAGGATCGAGGCAGAAATCGAGGGTTGTCTGGGCAGAATTATAAAGCAAGGGACTTCGTCCCATTTGCCATTTTTGACAAATTGGAGCTTGAGGAGAGGCGATTTTTGATAGATTTTCAAGGAAAAAATTTAGGTAAGTCCCTTGTGATCATTTCTACTCCATAGTATTGAATTATCATCGAATAATCCGACTAGATTACATGTTTTTGAGATGTAAATCGGAGTTTTGAACTTAAAAATTTGGACATAAAATTTGTAGATTTGAGGGTCAAGCTGAGGTCGGATTTTGGTAAAATTGGTATGGAGTAGACTCGTGGTTGAATCAGCTTTCGGATTTTATAACTTTTGTCTGGTTCCGAGACGTGGGCCCCACAGACGATTTTTGAGCTAAATTTCGGATGTTTATGGAAAAATTGTATTTTCATATGGAATTAATTCCAATAAATTTTATTGACTGAAATAATTTAATTGTGACAAGATTCGAGTCATTCGGAGGCCGATTTACGAGGCCAAGGCATAGCAGAGTAAAGAATTTCACGTTTTGAAATAAGTAACAGTTATAAATCTGGTCCTGAGGGTAGGAAACTCCGGATTTTTGTGTCACGTGATTATTTTGGAGGTGACGCACATGCTAGGTGACGGGCGTGTGGGCGAGCACCGAAGGGATTGGGACTTGGTCCGTCCCGTAAAACTGTAAAGTTGAATAACTTGTTGTTAGCTATATGCTCTCTTTGTGTTGAAGAAATTTAACTGTAAATCATGTTAAAATCATGCTTAAGCTATGTGATAGTACTGTTGGGACCTACAGAGATCGCATACTTGTTGAATTATTTCCTAATTGATGTCTTGTACTCAGTCATGATTTTACTTGTGCATCATACCTCAGTCTTTCTTGATATTTGTTGATTCACTATGTTATCTTTGTTTGGGATGATCTTTGTCATTTCCGAGAGCCCGAGAGACTAGAGAGGTTGAGGACTAAGTAAGGTCGAGGGCCTGTCGGTGAGGTAAGGATATTATGGCACGTGAGTTGTCCGTGCAGCACGTGAGTTGTCCGTGCAGTACGTGAGTTGTCCGTGCGGATTATGGCGCTTGGGCTGTAGGAGAACCTCCGAAGTTTGTACACCCCCAGTGAGTGCGGGTACCCATTGAGTGTGAGTGCTGAGGGCTGATAGCCGAGTGTTTGAGCTGTTGTAACGAGTTGAGTGATTGTTGCCTTGAGAGGTTGTACTTGCTTTTCATTTGTTGTTGCATTTAGCACTACTAGAAAATGGCTATTTTTCGACTGCAAAAACGGTCAGAAAGTGGTTAGAAAATGCTAATTTCCGACTACATTCAGACCGAAAAGTCGTAGTCGCAAAATAGTTGGTCTGAAATCTTTTGCGACCGCATCCGTCCGTAATTTGCGACTACAGCGGTCGGAAAGTCAAAATAGAAAAACGACTAATAAATGTGGTCGATTTTCCGACTGACGCGGTCGCAAACAATTTAAATTAAATTTTAATTTTATATTAACTTTCCCACTACTTCGGTCGCAAACGGTATACATAATTATAATATTATTTAATTTTATTTGAGTTTTCCCATTACCATGGTCGCAAATCTAATTTAAAATTATTTATTTATTTATATTTTCGACTACTGTGGTCGCAAACCTAATTTAATATTTTTTAATATTTAATTTTTCCACTACAGTAGTCGCAGATGTTCCTGAATCTAGAATATTTTGAAGCATTTTACGACTACAATAGTCGAAAATCAGTCAGAAAACTGGGAATTGTTTGCCAGATTCCAGCTTTTTTAAAAGCAGCACCACCTGCCAATTCAAATATACAGTAATTAACCAATTAATCCACCATGACAACCAATTATTTCACAATGCCAACCAATCAATCCGTCATTTCAACTAATCAAATCCATAAAATGCTAAACATAAATATTTGTAACTAAAACATCCAAAAAGAGTTAAACATTCTAGCACCATTCAATCTAGTCTAAAACATTACAATCATAGTCAAGTGTAAATATTACCAAGTCTAAACATCCAACCATAACAAACTAAAACTCATTATCCCCGCCATCCTCGCCATTCAAAGGATCAAATGGACGTCCGCTCATAAATTTCTCCACTAGACTCTGCAATTTGTTAAAATTTGCGCGATCTTCTTTCCGTTCCTCCTTCAACTCTTCAACTTCTTTTCGTAATGCTTCCACCTCTTCGTGATCTTGCGAATAACTCGCATCACCAGACAACAATGTCGTAGAATGACCTACGGAATATTGTGATCCAAGATCCTAGGTTCTACCTTTCTTTGCGCCACCAACCACATGCGTCCATATTGAAGCAACATCATTGAGTGACACTTGGGTTGAGCTACCATCCTTGAAATCGGGTTGACTTTGACGTCATTCCTCAAAACGTTGCTGATAGGCTTCCTGAAATTAAAAGTTGGATATTCTGCTGATCAGTTGACACTACATTAGCTAATAACAACAAGCTTATAACGACAGAATAGTCAAAACTTCAAACAAGACTACAATAACAAAAAAGGTCAAAAGATCGACGATCAAAAAGGATAATCTATTCTGAATTCCCTGACCACATTATCTCATCTAACTACCAACATACGAAATCAGCATGAAGCTGAGACATCAGCATAAGCTAAACGATCAAAAAGCGTACTTCAAGATTTGTTGAGACATCACATCACTTTATAATACTAGTTGGACACACATGAAGCTTATACTATACCCTAGCCATGAGAATGCAGAAACAACTTTCTAGTTTAGCTAAAACAATAATGTAGCAGTGTTAATCCACAAATTTACACGAAAGTTTTAACATACAACAAACTTTCAAGGAAAAATTTATCATAAAATTTTGTGGGGGTCTTTTATGCACCTAATTAATGTCTGTTTATAAAATCTAGAGACTTATATGGAGGATCTAATTGAAACACAGAAACTTATAGTGTTGTATACAGTCTCAGAAAGTAGAGCAGACTTGTCTGTTATTCATGCAACTTAGAGGAAAGACCACCTTGCCTCTAATTTATCAGGAAGTTAATGTTCTAATTTATCACATTCTATATGTAGATGTTTGTTACCTAACACTTCTTTCTTTTCTTCATGTTCTCGGCAGTCTGGTCTTCATCCTAGTCAAGTGGATTACATAAATGCTCATGCTACATCTACACCCCTTGGTAATCATTTTGCAAATGTGAAGAGACTCTCTAGTGATTTCAAAATTTTTGCACAAAGCTGAAGGAGACTTCGTCTCTTGGAAACCTATAGTCATGTCTTTTCTGCATCAGAAAAGAACTGTTCTTGCGCTTTCAGCATACTATCATCTTTTTTAGTTTTTCTGCATTTACTTTGTGGTTATTAGTGGATACTAGCATTATCCTTTCTGTCATAAATAGCATGTATTTTCCCCCCTTATCTATGAAATCTGCTGAACTATTACCCAAAATATCAAGGTGCCATTGGTCATCTCCTTGGAGCCGCTGGAGCTGTTGAAGCAATTTTTACCATGTGATTGGGAGAACAATCTCCTTAACAGAAAATAAACATTTTGAACATATAGTAAGAATCAAAATGGAAACACTTTGTCCAAATTCTCTACAGAACATATAACATTTCTCTCAAGATTCTACAATCATGACCACTACAAGTCCTCCAAATTTACTATTTTGGTTCGACAACCCATAAAGTCAGTTTTAAGGAAATCCTTAAGCAAACACCAACTGAAAGATGTTAAATTCATTGATTACTAATAGTTTAACTCACAAGAGTTTCTTAGGCTAATCTTGTACGAATCAGACTAAGTGTTATCCCAATAAAAAACCAAAAGATGAAACTAGAGAATCTTGTAGTTAGGATCTTACATATGTCCTCGCAGCACGCGGCTCGACCCATTCTCTTGTCCCATCCTTTTTCTTTTTCATAGGATAAGTTCGATTATACATCCATCTACACAAAATAAATTCAAGATATTTAAAACAATATATATTAATTAGTACTATGACCGTTTAACACAAGCCATCCACACAAATACATTATAGTTACAAATACATTCTAATTAAGCAGATTCTAATCACAAATACATTCTAATTAAGCAGATTCTAATCACAAATACATTCTAATTAAGCAGATTCAAGTTGAAAGAGCTCTCCACAAGAAAGTATGAATTCCATTTGAGCTTCATTCTTTTAAAGTATGACTCCAGGTATACAATTCTCTCTTTTCCCTTTTTCTCTTTTTGTATTATAAATTTTAAGCTTAAGATAGGTACAACTACCAAAGACCATAATCGCAAAGTACAACTACCTATATGAGAAGGCTGTATCTCATGACCTTTTTCTTTTACTTTACTGGTAATGTTTCTGGTCCTTTTCCTTCCAGCCTTTTAGTTGCTTATTATCTGTGATGGAAGCTGACTGTCTTTTACATTGTACTCCTGAGGGCTCAGCTGGTGTGGATCCTCCAATTAGAGTAACAAGAAACCATTTATGCCTTAATTGTGTTTATCGTGCCGTAGTTCTACTACGCATCAGATAGTGAAGCTGTTAAATCCATTAATTCAACCGTAAGCAGGTGCTACCTGGTTGATTAGAATGTGTACATGGTGGAAATAGGCTTATTGCAAATCTGAATAGAGTATCGGAAGAGAATAAGCACCCAATATGGACTGTACCGCTATGTGTATCCAACCAAATTAGCTCACCTTCTATCAAAGCAGTAACATGATTCGTACATATTGAATATTATAAAAAGCTCCTCTTATTTGGAAGATAGAAAAAATCAAAGCAAATAGAAGATACCAAAATATAAGTGAAACAGAAATACAGTACGGAGAAATACACAGCAACTTAACAACTCAAAAATACGGAACAAACAGAACAAGAAAAACCACAAATAAATGAAGCATGAGGGTTTTGATCATATGGATACGACTCTGAATGAATTTTAGGGATCAAACATACCTCGAATTCAGCAAAGAAATTGGGTTCTGCGACCTCAAAAGAGAAACCCCCAAATTCGCAACTGATGGAAAAATGGAAGATGGATTTGAGATATGAAAACGGAAATAAAAAATTAATGAGTGATTAGTGATTTACCTGGGACGAGAGATTGAAGAACGGTCGAGCAGAGAGAGAGGAAATTGGGGAAATAGGGTTTCGTCTGAAATATTAAATTAAGATTACTGACTACGGTAGTCGCAAACCCATTTAAAATTCTTTTATCATTTTAATTTTAGTTTTGCGACCGACACGGTCACTTAGTACGTCAACTGATATTTTTGACTTTTTAATGTCCTAACGAATCGGTCAGAAAAATGAAGGCGGGAAATTAGCGCGCTATTTTCTCTTTGCCTTTGTCGGAATAATAGTCGATTTTCCTTTTTAAAAATAAGTAATAAAAATTCAATCTTTTTTCGATTATTGCGGTCGCAAAAGCAGTCCCATTAGTGACTGCTTCATTTTCGGTCGGAAAATTAGGTCACAAATTGATATTTTTCTAGTAGTGTAGTAGCTTTCTGTCATTGTTGTAAAATTCTCTAAAAGATTCTATATCCGAATTACATGAACATGAACTGTATAAAATTGATTTGACTTAAACTGTTAGATTTGAAAGCATGTCTATTCTTTGCTTGAATTACTAAAAGTGAACTATAACTGTGTAGCTCGTCTCTATCTTCAGTTCCTTAGTTATTATTATTACTTGTTGAGTTAGTTGTACTCATACTACATCATGTACTTTGTGTGCAAATCTAGGTGCTTCTGGACATAGCGGGTGTTGATTCTCTCATACAGTTGATCTTCCGGATATTCAGAGGTAGCTGTCGTGTTTCGCAGACCTTGTTTCCCCTTCCCTATCTCCTTGTTACCGTATTTTGGTCTTAGACTATTATAGACCGTATTTTTTTCCAGACTTGTATTCATATTAGATGCTCATGTACTCGGTGACACAGGTTTTGGGGAGTGTTCGTATCACTATTTGTGGGATTTTGTATTGTATTTAATTATTATATTTTCAAACTTAAAAGAAAGTGTGGTTTATTGATATTATCGGCTTACCTAGTGTCGAGATAGGCGTCATCACGACAGGTTAGGATTTTGGGTCGTGACAGTTACCCCCAACATAACTCAAATATCATAGCCAACGGGGAATTACCCTCAAACCAAGTTTAGATATATTACTTACCTCATTCGGGGTAGTCTTCAATCTCGAATCGCGTCAAAACCTCGATCTAGCCCTCCGGCGCAAATCCAAGCCAAGCATCATCCAAGAAAGTCAAAAATGCCATATGAAGCGATCCCAACCTATAAAGATTTAATTTTTTGAAGAAATTCCCAAAAAGTCAACAAAAGTCAACGGGGGCCCACGTGCTCGAAATTTGAAACCAATACTAAAATCCGATGACCCATAACCTGTCGAGTCTAACTGTATTATTAGTTTCCAAAACTAAGTCCAAATCAGTACTCAAATCCCCAAAATACACTCTCTTAAAGTGTAGGCAAAAAACCCAAATTTCCTTTCAAAATTCCAAGTTTTAGGTATAGGAATCCATGGATAATCAAGATATAAAGCTAAATGCAAGTGAAAATTGCTTACCTCCAATGCAATAGTGAAAATTCTCTCCAAATTCTTCTCATCTCAAAGTCTAGGGCCAAAAATATAAAACAATGGGTAAAATCCCAAAAATAGCAACTTAAGTACTCTTCCGAGCAATACTCATCGCGGTCGTGGTCGCAGCCAAGCCATTGCGATCGCGAAGCACAAAGAGCCTCGCCTAGAATTACTTCATCACGGACACATGTGTCCATCGCGAACACGATCAACAATTTACTAGCCCTCCGTGAATGCGAGCAATCCATCTAAAATTACTCTATGAAAACGCGACCCTATGGCCGTGAACGCGAAGACCAGCAGAACACTAGAACATCAGCCATCACAAAGTGGTCCACAATGATCTGAAACCACCCCAAAACTCACTTGAGCCCCACGGGTCGCCGTCCAGTCATATCAACAAGTCTAAATACATTAATCAAACTTATACAAAGGCGCAAAACACCAAAATTAACATCAAAATCAAGAATCGTCGATCAAGATTAATCTCTTAAGTTCATAAACTTTCAACTTCAAACCAAGCGTCTGATTCAATTCTAACTAATCCGGAATGAACCCAAAGTTTGAAGACAAGTCCCAAATAATAAAACAGACATATTCCAATATATGAAATAACTATCCGACCCCGATAACCTCAAAGTCTACTCCCGGTCAAACTTATAAATTTTCTAAACCTTCAAATTGTCAACTTTCGACAAATATGACCAAAACCTTCTAGGAACATCCAAATTCAAATCCGAACATGCGCCAAAGTTCAAAATTGCCATACGAACCTATTAAAACTATCAAATTCAGATTCCGAGGTTGTTTACTCAAAAGTCAAACCTTGGTCAACTCTTCCAACTTAAAGTTTCCAAATCAACTTCGAAACTTTCAAAAACTCAAAACCAACTATACACGCAAGGGATAATGCATAATGTGAGGCTACTCAAGATCTCAAACCATTGAATGAAGTGTTCAAGTTCAAAATGACAGGTTGAATTGTTACATGTGCATAACCTCCCATGCGACGGGAATAAACTTCACAAGTAGATGATCTAGCTTGATATCAAGAATTGTTTTCTCAACAAAAGGGACAAAAATGATGTCTCCTACTCTCTCAGCCATGAGCTGAAATTAAGGTAAGACATATTCAACTATTGCATGCTCAACATAACCATTTACTTTCAACCCAAGGAAATCCGTTACATTTCTTTACATTTTGTAGAACTTCATATTGAGTCATAAATGGAGTCAAGTACTCCTTAGCATAGTTGGCCATACCATGGAGATTCACAAGGAGGGAGTCCAATAGTTCAACCAATTGCTCCTCAGTCATGGTGGCACTTGATTTAAAATGATGTTGTGAGCTGTTATGACTTTTGATATTTTCCAAGAGGAGAGGAACGACATGATCCATGTCATATTTAACTATCATGTCATCTCCATTCTCATAGAAAAGTGACTCAATCAAATCTTCAAGATGTTGTGTTATGTTCGACATTTTAGCACTAAGACCATACAAATTGAAATAAGAAAGAAATGTCCACATTAATGTCAGCACTAGCTTCAGCTCTTCAAGTTGATCCATGTCAAGAGCAATTTCATCTTCTTTATTCTTTAACCTTTCTATGAAATCCAATAGATTGAAAATGTCCCTGCAAAGTACAGCAGTACACACCTGCCAAAAGACCAAATGTTGTATCCAATGTTCAAAGCCACATAATCATCCAAGTCAATATTAGTTTTAATACAAGAAAATATTGTATGACAATACTGATGAGCTGTTTGCTTCAATTTGTTTTCCTCCTTCCATGAATGTAATTTTCACTAGAACGGTGCCAAAGTAGCTTTTCCGGATGGGACAAACCCATGTGGGTAAATGAAAAGGTCAAAGAAAGAAAGAAAGAAAGAAAGAAAGGAAAGATAGAAAGAGACAGAAAGAAATAAGAGTTTGGAAAAGTAGGCCGCAAATGTGAAAGAAATAATTCGGCACAGTTTGTGATGCGTCCTGCCGCGTATTCACATTCGCTGCAAAAAACATTTCAGCAGACGCTCTGCCTATAAATACGCATCCCCTTCTTCAATTGTAATCTTCCTCACAACTTCTTCTCTCTTTTATTAATAAACAGTTATTCTTTTTGTGGTCGTCAAGTAGGCAAAAATTATCGAACCACGTAAATCTTGTCTTGTCTTGTGCAATTTATTATTTTTCTCTTTAAATATAATTTTTTCTTTTATTAATCTGACACGTTTTTCAATAATTGGTATCAGAGCACATGCAGTGTAATTTTGGTAGAAAAGCACGGTATTCGTGCAGGTAATATTCACAAGAATAGTGCGACAGTATTGATCATCAATACTAACACTATTCACAATAGTAAAGTACTATTCATTAATAATGATAGTATTGTTCACCAATAGTGATTGTTGTCTACCTTATACGGTTGGGATATTTTTCTTACACGGAGTAGTATTTGCGGTTACTATTCACATGCACTATTCACATAAATGTTTTTTTGTGAAAAATGGCATCGGAAGAATGGAAGGTTAAAATTGACAAGTTCAATGGCAAAGATTTTGGATTCTGAAAAATGCAAATGGAGAATTATTTGTACCAGAAAAAATTACAATTAACTCTAACTGGGGTAAAACCAGAGAATATGGCCAAAGCAGATTGGGATCTATTAGACTGCCAAGATCTTGGTGTGATTCGTTTGTCGCTAGCACGAAATATAGTGTTTAACATCATTAACGAGAAGACCAATACAGGCCTGATGAAGGCGTTATCAAATATGTATGAGAAGCCATCTGCTTCAAATAAAGTCTATTTGATGCGTCGATTATTCAACTTGAAGATGACAGAAGGTGGATCTGTTATCGAATATATCAATGAGTTTAATGTAACATTAACTTAGTTGAATTCTTTGAATATAACATTTGGTGACGAAATCAAGGCGTTGATTCTATTATCATCTCTACCGGAGAGTTGGTCTGCAACAGTAACTGCAATTAGCAGTTCATCGGAAATTACCAAACTCAAATTGGATAATATCAGAGACTTAGTTCTAAGCGAAGATATTCGTCGGAGAGAATCAAGTGATTCTCTAGGATCTGCTTTTAATGAAAGCAGGGGGGTAATCAACCAAAGAAGACAAAATCATGGTCGTGGAAGATCAAAGTTAATGAGAAAAGGGCAATCCAAAAATCGCCAAGACATTACTTGTTGGAATTGCGATAAAAAGGGTCACTACAATAGTCAGTGTAGAGAAACAAAGAAAAATAAGGATGAAAATTTAGCAAATGTAATTTTTGAACAAGTGTGATGCACTAAATTGTTGTGTAGACTATCCAGTCGAATCTTGGATTTTGGACTCAGGTGCATCCTTTTACTCTACCTCATGCAAAGAATTATTCCATAATTATGTTGCTGAAAAATTCGGGAAGGTTTATCTAGCAGACGGAGAACCTTTGGATATTATTGGAAAAGGTGAAGTTCATCTAAAGACTTCACAAGGGACGCTATGAAAATTGCAAATGTCTGACATGTTCCTGACCTCAAGAAATTTGATATCCATAGGTCAGATTGACAGTGAAGGATATATAACAGTATTCGGTAATGGATCGTGAAAAATAACCAAAGAAAATTTAGTTCTGTCATGAGACTTCAAGAAAGGAACATTGTATGCAACCGCAATACATACAGATACTATAGCAGCAGTTTTCATGGTTGTGACACAATATTGTGACACCGAAGGCTCGGTCATATGAGTGAAAAAAGAATGAAATTGTTTGCATCCAAAAAAAAAGTTGCCAAACCTCAAGCATGTTGAATTAGGTTTGTGCGAAGATTGTATTTATGGGAAACAAAAGAGAGTTAGTTTCTCAAAGGTGGGAAAGACGCCAAAGAAAGAGAAGTTGGAACTAGTGCATAGAGATGTATTGGGACCAGCTCCTATAACTTCTCTGGGAGGCTCATGCTATTATGTCACCTTCATTGATGATTCCACGAAAAAAGTATGGATTTATTTTTTTTAAAATAAATCTGACGTGTTTGTTACCTTTGAAAGATCAAAAGCTGAAGTTAAAAATCAGACAAGCCTAAAGTTAAAATGTCTGAAGTCTAACAATGGAGGAGAGTATGATGGTCAAGAGTTCAAAGCTTTATTCGCATAAAATGGGATCAGAATGATCAAGACAGTTCCTGGAACACCGGAACAAAATGATGTTGCTGAGAGGATGAATAGAACCCTGAATGAACGAGCCAGAAATATAAGAATACATTGTAGGTTGCCGAAATATTTTTGGATTGAAGCTGTTCACACGGCATGTTACCTCATAAACAGGGGACCCTCTGTACCGCTGAATTTTAAAATTTCTGAGAAGGTATAGACAGGAAAGGATGTAACTCTCTCACATCTTAACATCTTTGGTTGTGTTACTTATGTGCATGTAAACTCCAATGATAGAGATAAGCTTGATCCTAAAGCCAAGAAATATTTCTTTATTGGATATGGTGATGATAATTTTGGTTATCGATTTTGAGAAGATCAGAATAGAAAGATCTTAAGACACATGAATGTCACATTCAATTAAAATATGATGAACAAGGACAAGCTTGGAGTATAACCAACCAGCACCAACGAACAAACATCCAAAACAATTGAGTTGGAAGAAATCTCAGAACATGAAGTGGCTAGAGGGATTACAACTGATTCTGAAATTGAAGATGCAGAACCATAAGCTGAATCTGGATCAGAACCAGAACCAGAGAAAGAACCAGACGGAGAACCAGATCTGGAGGTAGGACATGAATCAAATTCGGGATCAGTTACTCTTAAACCTACATTAAGGAGATCTAAAAGAGTCACAAATGTTCTAGATAGGTTAACTCTCTCTCTCTCTCTCTCTCTCTCTCTCTCTCTCTCTCTCTCTCTCTCTCTCTCTTTCTCTCCTTTATTTACTTTTAACTGATGTTGGAGAACCAGAGTATTTTAATGAAGCAATGCAGGTGATAAACTCTAATAAGTGGAAGCTAGCCATGAAAGAACATGAATTCTCTTCAAAAGAATAAAATATGGATAATTACAGAGTTACCAAAAGGAAAGAAGTCATTGCAGAACAAGTGGTTGTACAGGGTCAAGGTAGAGTATGACGGTAATAAGATATATAAAGCATGATTAGTAGTAAAAGGCTTTCAACAGAAGGAAAAAATTGACTATACCGAGATCTTCTCTCCTGTAGTCAAATTAACTACTATCAGGTTGGT